AAGTGGCGGGTGTGAAATGTGACGGAACATTAACGGAATAATAGGAGATTTAACGGAAGTTAGTTTTCCGTTCAATTGGGTCCTTATTTGAGAATTTCGTGGAGTTCAGGACCTTCATTGAGAGCAATTGAAGTTTGGGTCCGAAATTGCGAATTTGGTGTAAGTTCGGGTCCTTATGTCATATTTTTGCCTTATAAAGTATTTTTCCTAGTTCATGGGTTGGCTCATTCCCTTTTCCTTTTCCCTAAATTTGCCCTTATTCAAAATTACACCGAACTATGGAACAGAAAATCAAAAACCATTAAATATAGAGGACAACTCTCAATATAAAAAAACTCATATTTTATTTCACTGTTTAAGTTATAAAATTTAAATTATATATGATTTTTTTATTAAATTTCTATCTTTGATTGCCTTTTTTTCAAAAAAATTTTTTTAAATGTTTTTTATTTTTTTATTTGACAATTGATTCTTGTAGTCAATTGGGCTCAAGCTACTCATCAACACTAGCACTATCTGAAAGTCTGAATCATGTAATCCACAGTCAAGCCTGGATTTTAGATCTTTTAGTTGCCCAGGTAAGCAGGCCAAGCCTGCGTTTTTAGCATATGGACTTTGTCCAACAAAACAATCGGTCCAATTCAATACGCCAAGGCGGTTCCCACTTCCCAGTTGGCTAAGGACCTAAGGTCGAAGGGCTAACGTGGTTTTTCTGGTTATTCACTAAATAGCAGCTTTACATATATTTATTGATATTTATTGATTTGAATAGAAGAAATTTAATTTTTTTAAAATTAAAATTTTAAATTTTAATTTTATAAATAAAAAATAAATATTAAAAAGGTTTTTTTTTTTAATGAAATACAATGTAACTTGACTCCCAATTAGTTAAGGTTTAATGTTGTTTTTGAATATTATATATATATAAAAACCCAAATAGCAGCTTTCATTATCAGAATGCCATTGCCAACCCAAGCTATAAAATTTTCTAAGCCATTTCCACTAACTTTAATTCTAAGGCATTAAGCAATTCGATGCCTATGGTTACTGTACATATGTGCGTGTGAAAGAGACGAAGGAGAAAAAAACCAAACATCATAGGCAGAGGGAATAAATTTAATCGTCAAAGTCATGGGTACTTGGAACTTGCAGATAACCTAAGTAATTGGCATGCATTCGTCAACACATTTACATGTACGTGATGGCCC